AAGGGAATGAGCTGCTTTAACCAGTAAAATGTGGCAGAAGTAACACTGGGCCAGTTCTGGGCTGAAGCCTTCAGAATGCCTGACAGATTTGGCTTTTGCAGCCTATTGAACCCAAATACCACATAGGAATACCGATTACCATGAGACGGCCATGCTGAGTGCAGAATAGAGCCTCATGAAGGAGCACTGTTTGTGTCTCCCCAAAATTCATACATTGAAGTCCTAACCCCCAACGTGATAATATTTGGAGACAGAACCTTTGGGAGGAAATTAGGTTTAGATAAAGTCATGAGGGTGGAGCCCTCATGATGGAATTAGTGCCCCTGTTAGAGGAGACACCAGAAAGCAGAAAGTTCTTGTTCTCTCTCTTCCCTCTCCGCTCTCTCCTCTCCCTTCTCCCCTCCCTTCTCTTCCCTCCCTCTCTCCACTCACACAAAGAGGTCATGTGCCTGTAATTCCAGCTGTTTGAAAGGTCGAGGCAGAAGGATCACCTGATCCCAGCAGGTTGAGACTGCAGTGGCCATGAGCTTGCCATTGCACTCCATTCTGGGTGACAGAGTGGGACTCTGACTCAAAACAAATAAACAACAACAAACAAGGGTACAAATATGAAATAAAATAAAAGCATATACCCTAAACAGATGTGAGTAGTGATAGTACTATGTTCCACTACTTTCATCAAGTGCCATTTAAAAAAATCCACATAGAAAGTCTTATATTAATAAGCCAGGTGTGGTGGCACACGTCTGTGGTCCCAGCTACTTGGAAAGCTGAGGTGGAAGGATCTCCTGAGCTCAGTAGGTTGAGACTGCGGTGGCTGTGAGCCTCTGCCACTGCACTCCAGCCTGGGTGACAGAGTGAGACTCTGACTCAAAAAATGAAATAAATAAATAAATAAAAGAAAGACTTATGTTAGCAATTAAATTAATTGAGATGAGAAAGAGTAACTTTTGATGTTGGCCTCCAACCTTTTTCAACACTGCAAAAATTCAACCTTGGGTAGCCATTCCAGAATGGCAGAATAAAACTTTTTTTTTTTTGAGTCAGAGACTCACTCTGTCATTCATTTTGGAGTATGGTGGTGTGATCAAAGCTCACCATGGCCTCAACCTCCTGGGCTCAGGTGATCCTTCTGCCTCAGTCTCCTGAGTAACTGGGACTACAGGGGCCTGTCACCACACCTGGCTAACTTTTTGATTTTTTGTAGAGATGAGTTTCCGGTATATTAACTAAGCTGGTCTCAAATTTCTGGGTTCAAGTTATCCTCCCGCCTCCCAAAGTGCTGGAATTACAGGCATGAGCCACTGAACCCAGCTGGAACTTTCAAATAATCTGAAATGAGTTCTTTTTAAGATTTAGAATCTTGTCTCATATGAAATGATGGGTTTTATTCCTCTTGGACAAAAGTAAAATATGGGTGCTACCTAATGTCAATAGGCAAGATGACTTGGAAACATCAGGGTCACATACTGGGCCACTGTTTATCCGGCTCAGCATATTATGGCTGTAAAGCACTGGAAAATATAGTTATCCTCCTTGATATTCACCATGGATATTAGGTAACTATGAGCTAAAAGAATTTTCAAATATGGTATGTATGTATTTTGAGAGTGGTCTCACTGTGTTGCCCAGGTTGGAATGCAGTGATACCATCCTGGTTCACTTCAGCCTCAACCTCTTGGGCTCAGCAAACCTTCTGCCTCAGCCTCCTGAGTAGCTGGGACTACAGGCGCATGCTAATTTGTTTTATTTTTTGTAGAGATGAGGTCTTGCTCTTTTGCCCAGGCTGGTCATGAACTCCTGGGTTCAAGAGATTCTCCCACCTTGACCTCCCAAAGTCCTGGGATTATAGGCATGAGCCACCACATCCAGCCTACATATAGTATTTAACTCTCCAACCTCTAATGTCCTCTAGGTGTTTGCTGAAAGCAAAGATGAGATTGCTTTAGTTCTGTTTGAGTCAGTTGTCCTTCCTCTGGTCTATCTAGGCTTTCACATACCTCTGTAGATGCTGTTTGAAATGATTTTGATTTCCAAGCCTATTTCTTCCACTAGGTAATGAGCCCAGCTAGGGAGAAGACTATGTCTACTTTATTTGGGCATCTCTTGGGGATGATCTGACACTTACCCCACATGCCTCTTTACTACCATAGTCAACTTCCCCTTGTCCTAATCATTACTTTGTCCTTGATCATTGGTTTCCCCAAACCTAGAAAAATGCAAGTTTTTTTCTTTCTTTTGTTTTTTGAGTCATAGTCTCACTCTGTCGTCCAGTCTGGAGTGCAGTGGCACGCTCACAGCCACCACAACCTTGACCTGCTGAGCCTAGGTGATTCTTCCACCTCAGCTTTCCAAGTAACTGGAACCACAGGCATGTGCCATCACGCCTAGTTAATTTTTTGATTTATTGTAGGGTCGAGGTCTCACCATATTGCCCAGGCTGGTCTCAAACCCATGGACTCAGGCAATCCTCTTGCCTCCACCTCCCAAAGTGCTGGGATTACAGGCATGAGTCACCACACCCAGCAAAATGCAAGTTTCTAATGTGGTTTGTGGAAACATTCCACCTAAGTGGAAGCCGTATTCACTAGTGGTTTGTGGAAAGACTCAAGACATATGACTCATGTTAAAATCATGACATACATAGAGGACAGCCACCATGTTCACCTTTTTTTCTGCAAGCTTTAGCATTCAAAACAATTTTGGAGAGCCTCAAAGTGAGCAAATGTTAATCAGATTTTATTTTGATTTTGTCTTCATTTCAATTGATCGTATCTCTGCAAATGCACCAGAGAGCACCGAGGTTATCTTTACTATTTTTTTGTTGAGTCAGAGTCTCACTTTGTCACCCAGGCTGGAGTGCAGTGTTATACTCATGGTGACTACAGCACTGACTTTCTGGGCTCAGACAATCCTTCTGCCTCAGGCGTCCAAGTAGTTGAAACTACAGGCATGTGCCACCACACCTGGCTAATTTTTTGATTGACTGTAGAGATGAGGTCTTGACAAGTTGTCCAGGCTGGTCTTGAACCCGTGGACTCAGGCAATCCACTCACCTCGGCCTTCCAAAGTGTTAGGATTACAGGCTGAGCCACCGAGCCTGACTGCATCAGCCTTTCAAGTAGCTGGAACCACAAGCATGTGCCACTATGCCCAGCTTTTTTTTTTTTTTTTTAATTGTAGCGACAAGGTCTTGCCACATTGCCCAGGCTGATCTCGAACCTGTAGGCTCAGGCAATCCTCTCACCTCCGCCTCCCAAAGTGTTGGGATTACAGGTGTGATCCACTGCACCCAGTTGAGGTTGTCTTTAGAAGTGCTGGGCACATTTTTTTCTTGTCAAACTAATAAGAGTTATATATATTTCAAAAGAGTTCCTCTGCAGGTGGAGTTCAGCACCATACATTAAGCCAATGTCCCTGGCTTTCTGTGGGGGAGCGTGGCCAACCTCTCTGGTTTGGTTCACTGCAACAGCTTCTTTCTGAGACATGAGTAAGAAAAGAGCACCAGCTATTCTTGAAAAACCCAAACCTCCAAAATCTGCTGACCTTTTAGAATCCACTATTTTGAAGTTAGAAGAGCTCCCTTAGGAATGACTTTTAAGTTCAGAATCCATGAATCAGGATTAATCTGGTTTACACCCCCTAGTGGCCAGGAAGACACAAGGGTCTTAGCACAGCAAAGATCATGTCACTAAACTCTAGAAAGGTCCGAGTGAGCAAACCTCTGAGTACTGTTTCGCTAAAACAACAGGAGGCTAAATCTGGCTTCTTTGTGTTTAGGACTACTGATCCTTGTTTGGGGCAACGTTTGGCAAATGCAATCTTTCTTTTTGCAGTCTTGAATCTAGATTTAAATATCATTGTCTTATCCTACTTCCGCCGCCATTGCTAGCTTTGTGTAATTGTACTCTCCTATCCACTGTTCCTCTCCAAAAAAATCTGAAACCATATGACGCTACAGAAGTTTAAATGCAAAGTATGTGAGACTAATATCTATGTATAGCATGTACATAGCATATGTAACTAATATCTATATATAAATTCTAAGTGTAAGAGCCAGGCCAAAATAAATAAATGAACGAATAAGTAAATGAATGAATAAATCAATAAAACTGTATTAGCAGTTTGGGATGTATTTATTTATTTATATTGAGTCGGAGTCTCACTCTGTCACCCAGACTGGAGTGCAGCGGCATGGTCACAGCCACCACAGTCTCGACCTGCTGGGCTCAGGTGATCCTTCCACTTCAGCCTTCCAAGTAGCTGGAACTACAGGCACGCACTGCCACGCCCGGCTAATTTTTTGGGATTTATTGTAGAGATGAGGTCTCATCAAGTTGCCCAGGCTGGTCTCGAACCCCTGGGCTCAGGCAATCCTCTCGCCTCGGCCTCCCAAAGCGCTGGGATTACAGCTGAGCCACCTGGTTTCTGGAATGTATTTACATAATTATTGTGATGCAGAGATTCTGACTTGCCTACCAAAACGACCATTCTTCCCTTTTCTCTTTAATTAGCATAACCCTCATATTTAGCTGAGAATATGGCTACCCAGCTAAACAACCACGCTTCCCAGCCTTTTTTGCTCATGAGATCATGTGGCTAAGGTGTCATCAATGAGATATGAGACTTCTGGGAAGTCTCCTTAAACGGGAAGGAGAGCCGGCTCGGTAGCTCAGCCTGTCATCCCGCGCCTTTGGGAGGCTGAGGTGAGTGGATTGCCTGAGCCCGCGGGTTCGAGACCCGCCTGGGCAGCGAGACCTCATCTCTACAATAAGTCAAAAAAAAAAAAAACTGGAAGGATGTGCTCTTCTCCACCACTCCCTCCAAGGAAGTGGTGGCTGGAGATACAGTCAGCAATGAGTTGCTGAGGATAAGGATGATGAGGGTCACATCCTACTAAAGGTAGAAGAACAGAAGCCTGAGGCCTTGATGGCTTCAGCGGGTCCCAGGAGGCTCTGCTTCAAGACTTTTTCTACACAAGAAAGAAATACACTTCTATCTTGTTTAAGCCACAGATATTTTAGGGTTTTGAGTATATGCTGCTAAATCTAAATCTAAACGACACACAAAGATCCTCATACTCTGCTACACTGTGGAAGCCCAGCTTTCTAAATGTCTCACTCCATCCCCCTATCTATTACCTCGGTGGGTGTGGTCACCCCTAAGCCTCTTTATTCTCTCTGCCATATTTAGTCATATATCTCCCTGGGTTCCAGGCACCAAACTGATACACAACAGAGCTCTCTTCCCCTAGATAAATGGTCATTTCAGTGTAGAAAAACAAGAAAAGTTTGTACATCGGATGGACTGCTTTGGCACAAACTGCTTTTCTGTTCCTTGTCCTCCTGGAACCCTCGAGATGGTAGGACAGATCAACCTGGGCTAGAATTTTCCAGAAGAACTGAGGCAGATAGGGGGTCATTTAAAGAAACAATGCGCTGGAACTGTAAGATGATATATGAGGCTACTGGGACCAGAGAAGGAAATAAGTTGTTGGGAGTTTAGACAGTGGAGGTTTCTACTTCCTGGGCTGGGTCCTTGTTGGAGAGGCTGCCGGAAATATTGTCAGACTCAAGCAGCTCCACAATGCTGTAGGGAGAACAGTCCTCCAGACCCAGCTTGCTGCAGAGCCAGCCACAGAAGCCTTTCTCCATGTCCCGGGCAGCTTGCCACCACGCCCCCCAGGACCACGAGAGCTGGACCACGGCAGCATACAGGCCCAGGGAAGAGGCCATGGCCATGATGAGCACCGGGTAGAAGAGGATGAGGCAGGGGCAGTATGAGATCTTGTGCCAGAAGGTCCTCTCCTCATTATACACAAGGAAGATGTTGTACCAGGTGATCGTGCCATAGTAGAAAGAGACGACAAAGGAGAGAACGAAAACCACGGGCAGGCAGACCAGCGTCCAGAGGACCACATGGGGTCCGCGGTCTGCTCCCATCTGGCAGACCCTTCTTCCTTCCGGTGTCGTTTCTCTTGATGCCTCTTTAGGCTTGGTCAGTTCCTGCAGCTCCTTCTCTGTCAGTGTGACATGAATATCCACCATCTGACCCTTTTTCTTCCCTCGTGTGATGGTCCCAGTCAACGTGACATAGCGGCTGTCCAAAGGCATGTTCCACATCCCTGCAAGCACAAAGGAGGTGAGAGTCAAGATCGGAAGAGAGGACATTTCATCGGTGTCGCCCCCTCAAGGCTGAGGATGAGAATGAGAGCATCCATTCTTTTACATCGTCGGGCACAGTCCTGGAGTCATAAAGTCAGTGGCGGACTGAACAGGTCTCCCTTGGGAGGGCAACCACTGGTATTATCGCTCCCGTAGGGAACTCTCACTCCACATGACTGGGTCCTGATGAAATGTGAGGCAGGTGAAGTCTGTTTCTCAGGTTCCCTATACTTTTGGGGGCCTCAATCTTGGCACAATCTCTGTGACATAGAGGGGTGTGCGGAACTTGACTACCGACACTGCTTTATTGTTTATTTTTTTTTTTTTTGAGTCGGAGTCTCACTCTGTCTCCCAGGCTGCAGTGCAGTGGCATGCTCACAACCACCGCAGCCTCCACCTGCTGGGCTCAGGTGATCCTTCCGCCTCAGCCTTCCAAGGAGCTGGAACTACAGGCGTGTGCTACCACGCCTGGCTTATTTTTTGATTTATTGTAGAGACAAGGTCTCACCAAGTTGCCCAGGCTGGTCTCGACCTCCTGAGCTCAGCCAATCCTCTTACCTCCTCCTCGCAAAGTGCTGGGATTATAGGCTTGAGCCACTGTGCCCGGCCTGACACCACTTTATAATGATCCTATTTCCAGGTAACAAGTGCTGTGAAAATATTGTTTCTGGGTATCAGTTACTGTGTGTAAAGATTGTATGTGCGTACATCAGACTGACGGGCAGCCGCCCCCTTCCCTTCTCATGCCTAAACTCTGTGTTTCTCTTAGAGGGGTGTCCTTAGTGCCTGTGGACGTTCAGGCTCTGTACACATATACACATACTACATATGTATACACACACCACCCCCTACATACCACGTACACATACCACACATACCCTTCCACGCACACCACACACCATATACACATACTGCACCCCTCCACACCTGCCACATCCACCACACATACCCCCCACATAACACATACACACACACACATCACATATACATACCACACACTCCCACACGCATACACCACACACCTCAAGTATACTATGTATATATCCACCCCACACGCCCCCCCATACCACATAAACAGCAGATTCACACATATCATACCCCCCACAACCACCCACACATACTACACACACCTAACACACATCACACACCCACAAACACAACCCTCCCATCACACACCACGATTATACACACAAACCACGCACGTGCAACCAAACAGTCATCTTTTGGCCATCCTAGAAGTTGAAGATTGAGACAGGGCAGTCTGTGGTCCTTGGTAGGTAAAATATAGTCTAGAAGTGTGTGGGGGAAGGAGATGGGGAGAAGCAGGCTTTAGGAAGGCATCCCTTGGGCCCTGAGGGCTCCTCGCCTCATGGCTGGAAGAGAGAGAAAATGAAACCAGCTCACAAACAGGGCCCTGGATAGTGGAAGGGGCTCTGACCGTCCAGGTAGAAGGGTTCTACCATCATTTCACAGTCTGCTTCATCTCAGTAAATGACACCACCGTATATTCTCTCCATGGTTCCTGTCAAACACCCAGGAGTCATTATTGATTCCTCTCTTTCCTTACTTCCTGCCTCTGATGAATCAGCATGTTCTAAATCGTATTCTGAATCTAACCTTTCTTCTCTAGCTGCCTCCTGCTGTCACCCCAAGTTTCTACATTAGTGCTATAGTACCTGCAGGAACATCATAGTCTCCCATCGGCTTCTAGGCTTACCCTTGTAATCTATCCTTTAGAGATCAGCAAGAATGAGTTTTTAAAAATATAAATGAGGCCGGGCGCGGTGGCTCAAGCCTGTAATCCCAGCACTTTGGGAGCCCAAGGCCAGAGGATTGCCTGAGCCTGCGGGTTTGAGACCAGCCTGGGAAACATGGTGAGACCTCGGCTCTACAATAAAAATCAAAAAATTAGCCAGGCATAGTACCACGCGCCTGTAGTTCCAGCTACTTGGAAAGCTGACGTGGAAGGACCACCCGAGCCCAGCAGGTTGAGGCTGCGGTGACTGTGGGTATGCCACTGCACTCCAGCCTGGGAGTCAAGAGTGAGACTCTAACTAAAAAACTGCCGGGCTCGGTGGCTCAGCCTGTAATCCCGTGCCTTTGGGAGGCTGAGGTGAGTGGATTGCCTGAG